TGATGTCGTACATTGAGGGCGACACCCTTGCAGTTTACCGCGTTGCCAGCGCTACTTTCTGCCATCTCGACGGACTGCAAGACACATTTCTGGGGAAGTCGCGGGCCTGACTCCCAAGAATGCACGATTTGAACACAACATGGGCCCACTGGGAATGAGGCCTGAGCCTCTCCAAAACGGCCATCCTCGAATGCTCAATCGGTCATTTCAAGCTTTGATTCCTATATTCAACCGCTTGCCTGACATGGTGATGCGCGCCAAGTCTGTCAAAGCCTTCCCAACGTTCGCTGCAACGACTTCTCAAGGATGCGGCCGTGTCTGGTAGCCATGATAGGTTTCGAATGTTCCGCCCGGGTTGACGCCGCCGAGACAATTCGTGCATCGTGGATGCTTTGATCAATTGAGGGTTGCCGTGTACAAACAATGACTGTTTAGGGATGGGATGCCAGAAACAACAAAATCAACAACACCAACAACACCAATAACAACATCATCAAACATGTTAAGACTGCAGGCTGTTGTCTTCCCGTGTCTCTGCACCTGAAGATGAAAGATATATTCCCCCCTCTTCTCGTAGCTCAATCGCCCCCTGCACGAAGGTCTTCGGGATGATGTGATCCCAGCGCTGACGGTCGAAATGGCGGCACACGCGCGCAGGCGCGCGCTCCTCTTTTCACCCGTCATGTGCACAATGTGCACTGTCAACTTGTGAGTGAGCCGATTGCGCGCAGCGACACGCACATGGAAACTTGCAAGGAGGGCGGGGGAGCACAGGTAAGAACTCCCCCGCGGCGGGCACGGGAGTAACTTCACCCCACGTGCCAGATTTCACCACGCCGCGTCGAGGGGAGCGCCACATCCCCCCAAAAATGACAGCATACTCCATCCGCGTTGTGGGGATCAGCGACAGTTCTTCTAAGACATTTGAGCTCAGCAACAGCAGCACTCAAAAATCTCGACCACGGACTCCCACTTCACCCGCGCCCCATAGATTGTACTACGAAAACTGAGACGCCGCATCCCCGTAGTCGCCGCAATCGCGGGGGAAGAAGAATACAGACTTTGCCGCCAAAAGCGCTGCTCGCCCCCCCTGAGAAAATACGGGGGGGGTCCTGGGGCTAACATTACCTTTGCCCAGACATGCGACGAAATGTGTTTGTCAATCCGCGGCCAAGGAGCTCCCGTGCCTTGCCCGGGAGGGGGGGGGGCCTTGCGTCCTGGATCAGTGCTGATTGGCCGCCCGAGGCCCGTAAACAGGTGCCGAAACAACGAGAGGAAGCGCACAACATTGGAAAACGCACACCGTCGTAGATCTGGGCATCCACCGCCCCCCGAGGTCCAGCAAGATAGGTCCGGGCGCGGGACGCGTGACCGAAACCCGGGCCGCGGAGGGCGGGGGAGACGGTGCCGCAGCGCACGCGGCGCGAACCGAGGTTGCACAGGCAAGCCAGGTGAAGCGAGCAGCTTGCCCAACACCGGGTGTGCCCAATTCTGTGGATGTAACGGAGGCCTCAAGAGGTCCCAAGATGGCCCCAAGATGGCCCCAAGATGGCCCCAAGAGGCCCCAAGAGGCCCCGAGGAGGCCCCCAAGAGACCCCCAAGAGGCCCCACGAGACCCCCCAGAGGCACACAAGATGCTCCAAGAGGCCTCGGCGAGAATGCCGAATCATTGATTTCACGAAGGTTTTGGACACATGTTGGCCTCTTGGGGGGGAGCACTGATTAAGATGACTCAAAGAGCGCCTGGGAGAGCCCAAGATGACCTCCAAGATGGCTCCAGATATCCCAAGATGTCTCATAATGGCTTCCTCTGTGTGCTGCCCACTTCCCTGATCCAGGCAATTCCTCTGGGCATCGTTTCTGGATGGGCTGGTGGGGATTCGCGAAGCGTCATCAATTAAAACTGTGTTTAACATGTTTGAAACATGTTCTGAAGCATGTATTTCATGTTTGTTGCATGTGCACACCATTTTTATATATATATATATATATATATATATTATTTTTTGTTTTATAAACAAACTTGTTTTAGTAAAATGAAAACAAATTGGCAACATGTTTCTTCTCCACGGATCGCGCTCCGCAATCCAAGACCCAAAAAGGGGGCCAGGAAGGGGGCGGGAGCAGGGGGGGGCGCATTGGGGACAGAGGCGCGTTCGCGGACGAGGTGTGGAGCCAGTCTTGTGTCGGTCATGTCCTCTTACAGGCGGATTTTGCAAGAACGATGAAAACTACCAAGACAAATGTTTAAACGATAATAATTTCAATATGTAGAAAACCCTTCCCGTACCACGTTCCACTATTTTTGAATTTTCCTCCTGTAGAGGGACACGCCCGACTTACAGCCAGTCGCTGGGCGAGAAGCGAGTTGTATCCGCGGCGTCGCTGGCCGGGCCCTTGGGCCGCGGCCCCGTGGATGCGGAGCGTTGTGTTCGCGGATGCTCCACCCGGGACATTTCTGTGCGACCGCGCACCCACGGGCTCGCGCCCCGAAGCCAGGCCGCGAGGGCGCTGGTTCAGATACGCCCGCCGCTCGTGAGCCAGGGGGCATCCTCGCAGAAGGTGAAGGGGGCACGACATTTGGGGAACATCATGGCTCCGGGCATGGTGCCCACACACTAACTGAGACAAACGAACAACTACACACAATCCCTTCGTCCTCACCTCTCTTTTGGACACCTCCGGTAAGAGGGCGCAGCAGGCATGTATACTCCAACGCTTTGCCTGGCCAGGACCACCCTGGATTTCTTGCCGTGGTGTGTGTGTGTGTGTGCGTGCGTGCGTGCGTTTGTGTGACTTCCTGGTCCAGGCCAGCAAGGTCCAGCGGGCAGGGCTCAGGGCGATGCGGAGCACAAGCGGTAGCCCGGGCGATAGCAATTTGCCCCATAAAATGTTATCCCTGTGCTGCACCTTCAGTGTACTCTGGTAACCGCGTCCAGCACGAGCCTCTGTGCCTCTGAGCCACTGGCGATCGACGCAGAAGCTTCCGAATAGATCCCTCCAGTGTGACAGTGTGACTCAGGCGGGGCGAATCATCACGAGCCCGATCCGCATGACTACACGGACTTCTGAAACCAGCGGCAGTCGGTCCATCCCGCCTCCATGCCTGGGTCGTGGACCAAGCCTTTCAGGGGCCTCTTGACAAGGCCTTTTGAAAGCCCCTCGGGGCTCTTCGAACCTCGCACCACTACTCGGATTTCTATGACAATTTGACAATTGGTTCGGCTTCACCTGAACACGCACAGACACACAAACCTTTGTGGCGCCCTTCGGGCACCGCCTTGATTTCTCAACTGCGTGCCTCGCGAGAACATGTTGTGCTGGATGCGCCACCGTGCCGCGAGGTGAGAGAAATTGAACGTCCTCAGGTCTCCTCGAGTTCTGCCGCGAGGTTTACAGGCCCCGGGAGACTGGCCCCAAGTTTTTTTTGAATTCGGGGGCGCTCCTGAGCTCCACCCTGCGCGCCCGGGGCCATAGTGGGCCTCTCTTGGAGGGGCCCAAGAACAGGAAGAGCTCAGACCATGCAGCGCGGAGCCCTTTTGCCCCGAGATGGCTGGCACCCGAGCTCGCCTCCAGGCCGGCAGCGTGCCCCCAGGCAGGCCTCCAGGAGACACCCGGGAGGCCTTGTTCTCGCTCCCGTCAGAGACCCCGATGGGCACCACCCGGAGCCCCCCCCGCCGCGCAGGCCGCGCAGGGGTCAACCCACGTGCCCACGGCGCTTTGGGGTCCCGAAACGGTGCGGTGACAGACCGTGCGGTGACTTCGAAATCCCCCAAGACCTCGCCGCACGGTCCGTCACCGCACGGTCTTGGGACCCTGAAGGCCCCGGTCGCCCGAGAAGTCCTCGGAGAGGGTCTCGAGTCCCAAAACCGTGCGGTGACCCCGAATCCCCACCGACTCACCACACGGTGTGGCCACCACCCCGTTTGGGGGGCCCCCGAATCGCTTTGCTGGCAGAATACCCCGACGTGGGCCGTCACCTCGCCGTCTGGAGACACCCATAGGGGAACGAAAAGTGACATAAACATAAAAACTCCGAGGTCCGCGCGGACTTCTCGGATCCGCGCGGAGCGCGCCAGGGGCGGCGCCGGAGGCGCCGCCAGGCCCCAGCGCGGATCCCAGAAATCCGCGTGGACCTCCGAGTTTTTATGCTTATGCTATTCTTCGCTCCCCTAACCCAGGAGGCCCCAGAGAGGCTTCCGAGGGGCCCCCGAGGGCCCCAGAGAGGCCTCGAGGAGGCTTCCCTGCAGTGAGGTGCGTTAAGAGAGGCCTCCGGTTCACAAGCTAAGGAAGGCTAAGAAAGGCTTGGCGGATGGGCGGCAGGGCCAGCAGATCCGCCGCCTCCCCTTCGCAGTACACAGGCCACCCGCATCCACAAGGAGGCGCGACAGAGGGATGCGAGGGCCTCGGACGCCCATGTGAATGCTCTCGAGCGAGGTCGGCCAGCGAGCGTGGCCAAGGACGGACCGAGGAGGCAAGAAGGCAAGGATGGCCTTGGGATGGCTGCCCTTCCTTGCCCGTCCCCAAGTGTTCCCCCAAGTGATTCAAACAAGCGGGGGGAACATACACACACATAGCTTGGCCAGACTCTCGGCCAGCACTTGGCCACTGAGGCGTTTCCGAAAGGGAGGGGCCAGCGGCGGTTCGCCGCAGGCATCGTCGATGCAGCCGACCTGGCTTCCGAGCAGGCGAAGGCCAGGGTAGAGGGCTGGATACAGTCAACCCGTACAAGAGAGATGCGCGGTAAGGCTGCAAGGGCCCCTGGACACGCCCATGTCGAAGCTTCTCGAGCGGGGCGCGGCCAACGAAAGTGGCCAAGGATGGGCCGACGAGGCGAGGACGCAAGGGTACACTCGGGAAGGATGCCCATCCCTGCTGTGCGGGTTGACTGCAGAATGCCATACGGGAGGACCTCCATCACGGGGTGGAGGCGCAGAGACTCACGCTCGGCAGCGCAGGCGCACCGGGCAGGTGGCGGCGGGCCACGAGGAGCAGGCGACCTCTTGAAGCTGCCGGGCTCCAGTGGAGAACCTTCCCGAGACGCATCGTTCCATTTGCCGTCGCTGCCCCACGAATGAACATCAGTGCACAGTGCAATCTGGGACCACTCGTGAAAATCTTACTCGCACGTGTCGTGGGGTCAAACATGACTTGCTCATTTTCTGCGTGTCTAGCTCCATCCGTGTGTGCAAGACTGGCACAGGTCAATGGAAATCATGCGGGCGCGTTCAGATTACTGGCATTGACAGTGGCGTCCGCAGTGTACGCATCAGACCACGTACGAGCGTCGCCTGTAAAAGTATACCGCCGATGAAACAGCGACACGCCTGGCTTGATGTGGGAAATCTCACCAGGCCTCTGGGCGTGAGGTGTTTTCATGAGTGTCCTCTTCCATGTTCCCTCTTCTCCTTTGGGGTGGGTTTATCACTGCTCCTTTTGATAAACACCCCCTCCCCCACCCGACTTTAGGCCAACCCGGGACATGCCAACCCCCTCTCCCATCCCTGTCAAACAACAGCACAGCATGCACTCTGCCTGCAGATCTTGAGAATGCGCTCTGCCTCCAAATCCAAACGGCGGGGGTGACGGCATGTTGTTTGTTGCGCACAAGTCACCGACCGTCCGTCAAAAAACAATACAGAGAAGCACTTTGCCTCCAAATCAGGAGCATGCGCGGGTGCCCGGCCCCGCCACCACTCGGCCAGCGCCCCGCGACCACTCTGCATCAGGGATGGCGGGGGTGCCGGCATAGTGCTTGATGCGCGCAGGCCAACAGTCCCTGTCACAAATCAATACAGAATCCACCCGATGACGGCTGCGCAATGGCGCACCTCGCACGCACTGCGCGCGCTGAGCACGTGGCGCACCTGGCGCAGCTGAAGCACGTGGCGCACTTGGCGCTCGTGGAGCACGTGCCGCACTTGCCGCGCCTCGCACGCTTGGGCCTCCAGGGTGCCTGGTGCACCTGAACCCGTGGCGCACATGGCAAGCGTGGCGCTCCTCGGCGATGTGCTGAGACTCGGATACTACTATGTTTTGGGAGGGCGGGTGGATGTGAGCGAGACGGCTTGCCTTCTTGGGGGGGCCTCGACCCCTGCGTTTGGAGGGGCACTTCGCGAGGCGTTGGAGCGTCCAAGATGGCCCCAGCGGAGCTACAATCATTGATTTTACTAGGGTTTGGGACACATGTTGGCCTCTTGTGGGAGGGCGGGCGCAAATGTACTACGGCCCCTCCTTTGATCGATCTCCTTCAAGATGGCCCCAGCATTGCCCCCGAGGCTTCCAAGGGTGCCCCAGGATGGCCCCGAGAGGTGCCCAGGAGGCCAAGAGCCACCCAAGAGGCCCCCAAGAGGCCCCGAATGGGCCTCCAAAACAAGAGATCCTCAAGAGGCTCTTCAGAGGCACCCAAGACGCCCCCAAGAGCCCGCCCCCGGACTGACAAGAGACCCCCAAAACAACCCAAGATGGCTTCAAGAAACCCTTTGAAGAAATCCGAAGAGACTCCGAGAGGTATCCTAGATGTTGGCCTTTCTGCTCGCCCTCCTCTTCCTCTTCCTCATCCGTCTTTTCCTCGTCCTTCCTCCTCCCTCATCCCCCTCCCCCTCTCCCGAATACTCCTCCTGCTCCTCCGATTATTCCTCCATCCTCCCCCTCTTGGGGCATGGCGTCGTACCCAGCCCTTTATTCCGCTGCATGCTCCTCCACGTCCATGGTCAGGGCAACTCGTCTCGTCATCGTTTCTGGATGGTCGAGTGGGGTCACGCGAAGCATCTAGAATTGGCACTGGTTCCGACGCTCGAATCGGAGCCACAACGAATACGCATTGTCCCGCTGCCTTCCATGCAAACTACTCCTCCGATGCTCATTCATCACGTGGGTAATACATGCATCCCCAGCTGCCCTCACAACTTCCAGGTCGCGAATCATGGCAGACAACCTGCTAGTAAAGATCGGGCTTCAAGTGCGGACACATGATCAGAATCGACTACCTATGTTCCACATCGAACTGCACAGAGTGCAGCACCCGCATCCCAACGGAACCGTATGAGACGTGGACTGTGAGCGCATATGTCCTGCATTCACAGGTCCAGAGGGTTATGATTGAAGAAACCGCACACGGTTGGACATTGACCCTGCTCAACCATGAGGAGCCCTCCTCCAGGCGACACATGCAACACATGCACCAAACATATCGGCATGCTCCTAACATCCCTTTTGTAGGAACTGCTTTCCGTAACACATGCATCCGACACTAGTTAACTACATTACCTATATTGGCCGTGGCACCAAGTACTAAACTGATAGGTAATGGGTTATGAACGCATGCCGTGTGTACGCATATGTTGCTGGCCCTGCGCAAATACGGAGACGACGTGTCTAGAACAATTACGCATTATATAGGCTATGGGGGAATCGCAGTGGAGGTCAAATGGGGATCATATAGAAGCAAATGGAATAGTCTGAACAGCAGTTGGGCACATTGAACCTAGAATAACCTCTCATGGTGCAATAAACAATAAGAAACGCTGCAACCATCTCATCTGATGTAGGCAATCCGACCCTACGTAATCACATTGGTCGGATTGATTCGGCAACCCTTTTGCCAGAATGGGACCCATGTGCCAAGACGCACCAGAAACGCGAGGGGAAGACCAATGGAAGGACCCGAGGAACGTCGAGCCATTGCAAAACCAACAAGAAAGACAGAAACTGACAGACAGATAGACAGGCAGACAGACAGAACCCTTGCGTCCAGGTGGGCGCGTTGGCAGGAAAAGAAGTTTGACTGCTCGACAGGTCTGCTCGACAGAGGTCTGCTCGACTCTGCCGCAGGGCCCGAGGGCCCGGGGCGCTCGCGCGCTCGCGCGCTCGAGCGCTCGAGCGGGCGGTGGATCCCCGCAGCCCGCAGCTCGTGGTCCTGGCAAGCGGCGGGTGACCGACGGCAACAACGACAACGACGACCACGACGGGAAACGACGACGCCGACGACGATGTCGGCGAGACGACGACGACGGACGACAGACGGGGACCGCGGTGGTCGGGGCGGGGGTCCAAACGTGAACGCTTTATTATTCGGCAATTAGGCATTGGGCGGAAGGGGGGGAGGGTGGGATTCTGGCTCCAGACCGATCCTCACACGACCGTTTGCAAACGAGCGCCCCATGGGAGAGCCTACACCTGCTCGATACAGGCGGCAACAACAAACAAGATCTACTCCAATGGGAGGGGAAAAAGTGCGAGGGCCCGCGCCGATCGGCAAAACCGTGAATAAGAAAACGATCACAACCCCAACCTACTGCGAGCATCGTTTAACCTTCTCGCATGGCCTTGGCCCCACTGACTTGTGAACCCTCAGAGAAGCGGAGCACGGCACGGCACATGGGCTAAAAGCAGTGCCGCTGGCTGGAGGCGTGTGTCCGCCATCACCCTGAGCAAGGAAAGTGCAGACTCGGATGTCACAGCGTGTGGCTGACGGTGTGAGGGCGAATCGTCGGTATGGGTATGGGTGTGAGTTGTCGGAGCCCGGGAGGGCTCCCGTTCCAGCGGGGACGATCATCCAAAATCTCGCACATACAGCCTGGGTGGACCAGCCCAGAGGTTAGCATATCGGTCTGGGTGGACATTGGGCTTGGAGGGCACTGGAATGTTCATGAGAGGGGGGCCCCCAGCAGATGCGGATAAGAGTGAGGGGGCGGTGGGGACGTTGGCAGTTTGCGAGTATCTGGAGAAGCCCGCCGCAGGCGCCAAAATTTCACAAATTCGCCGGCCCAACGGGCCAGGGCGTGCTAAGATCTCCGGTACCTGGTTAACAGTATTTCTAGTTCGCGCGCGCGGGGCGGCCCCTGGGGGTCCCCGGACGAAAAGTACCCTGGCAAGGTCCCGGCACGTCCCCGGCAAGGTCCCGGCAAGGTCGGGCCAGAGATGCCGGAGTTCTGTTACAGGGCCCCAGGACGGGCCAAGAGGTCCCCAAGAAGCCTCCAAGACGGTCCAAGAGGGCCCCGAGACGGCCAAAGATCGCCCGAAGACGCCCAACAGGGCCCCAAGACAGCCCAAGAGGCCTCCAAGACGCCCCAAGGGCCTTCCAAGAGGCCTCCGAAGAGGGCCCCAAGAGGCCAAAATCGTTGATTTTCATTGTTTTTTTCTATGTTTTTTGCGTTCTGGCTTTTTCGGCTTCCGGACGCTCCAAGACGGCCCAAGAGGCCCCCAAGACCGCTCCAAGACGGCCCACGAGGCTCCCAAGACGGCCCCGGAACGGCCCAGGAGGGCCCCCAAGACGGCCCAAGTGCCGCCCAAGACGGACCAAGAGGCCCCAAGACGGGCCCAAGAGGGGCTCAAGAGGGGAACCGAGAACTGAAAAATCGAGCCCTCCGCCCCAGAAGGCGCCCAGGAGGCCCCAAAAAGGCCCCAAGAGGCCCCCAAGAGGCCCCCAAGACGCCCCAAGAGGCGCCCAAGAGGCCCAAAAGAGGCCCCAAGAGGCCCCAAAACGGCCCCCAAGAGGCCCCAAAACTCGGCTAGCCCACAACGGTGCGACGATATGGGCTGGCGGAATGAGCGAAGCGATTAAATTATGCAGGCGCTGAATTTTTCGTTAAACCAATGTGGGTAGGTCGCGGGTGGGTCGCTGGTGGGTCGCGGGTAGGTCGGGGGTGGGTCGCGGGTGGGTCGCGGGTGGGTCGCAAGTGGTTCGCAGGTGTGTTGCGGGTGGGTCGCGGGGTGGGTCGCGGGTGGGTCGCAGGTGGGTCGCGGGTGGGTCGCGGGTGGGTCGCGGGTGGGTTGCTGGTGGGTCGCGGGGTGGGTCGTGGGTGGGTCACGGGTGGGTCGCGGGTGGGTCGCGGGGTGGGTCGTGGGTGGGTCGCGAGTTGGGTCGCAGGTGGGTCGCTGGGTGGGTCGCGGGGTGGGTCGCGTGGTGGTCGCGGGGTGGATCGCGGGGTGGGTCGCGGGTGGGTCGCGGGTGGGACGACGACAACAAACAACAACAACAACAACAACAACAACAACAACAACAACAACAACAACACCAACAACAACAGCAGCAGCAGCAGCAACAACAACAACAACAACAACACCAACAACAACAACAACAACAACAGCAGCAGCAGCAGCAGCAACAACAACGACAACAACAACAACAACAACAACAACGACGACAACAACAACAACAATACCACCAACAACAACAACAACAACGACGACGACGACAACAACAACAGCATCAACAACAACAACAACAACAACAACGACGACAACGACAACGACAACGACAACAACAACAACAGTCAGTTTAAGACTGTTCGCCCTTATCTGCTCGAGTGTGTAATAACGCCTATTTCCCAAACCCTCGATACACGCCCTCTTCGTTTTCGGTCGAACCCCTTTTGGGGGGTATACCTTTCTTCCCTGCAGGCCGGGCCCCGGCAAGCGGCGGGGCGGCCGCGGACCGTCGGCCTGGCCAGCGGCAGCGCTGGTCGGCGGGGCGGCCGCGGACCGTCGACCCGACCCCAAGAGGGACGGACAGGGGACCGACCACGACGACGACGACGTCGACGACGACGGCGACGACGACGACGGCGACGACGAGCGAAAGCGAGAGCGAAAGAGAACAACAGTAGGGCCACAAGGGCACGAAGTAGGCCACGAAGGGCAACAGCGGGGACACGAAGGGTATGCGTATGGGGCCACGAAGATCGCGAAGGAGCGGGGGCCACGAAGGGCAGATAATGCGGGGCCACAGAAGGCAACGATGGGGCCACTGAGGGTAGCAACTGGGCCACGTAGGACAGATGCATATGGGGCCACCACGGGCGCGAACGAGCGGGGGCCACAAAGGGCATACATATATGGGGCCACGAAGGACGGCGAGGAGGCCACGAAGGGATGCAACGGGGCCACGAAAGAAAGCGAGGGGGCCACGAAGGGCAGCGAGGGGGCAACGACGGGATGCAACGGGGCCACGAAGGGCAGCGAGGGGGCCACGAAGGGATGCAACGGGGCCACGAAACAAAGCGAGGGGGCCACGAAGGGATGCAACGGGGCCACGAAACAAAGCGAGGGGGCCACGAGGGGCTGCAACGGGGCCACGAAGGGCAGCGAGGGGGCCACGAAGGGCTGAAACAGGGCCACGAAACAAAGCGAGGGGGCCATGAAGGGCTGCAATGGGGCCACGAAGGGCAGCGAGATCCCGATTCCTATGTAATCTGTGAGGGAGTCCTAAGCGTGAGCGCGACTCCTGGGTGCCTGGGTGTCGGGAGCGCGGCGCTTGAATAAATTGCAAGGAATTCCAACGCAAGGGCGCTAATCTTCAGTAAATTGCAAGCAAGTCTCCAGCGAGAGCGCGACTCCAGAGCGCCGGGATAATAAATTCTAAGGAAGTCCCAAGCGAGAGCGCGATTCCTGAATAAAACGCGAAGACGTCTAGGGCGGGAGCGGGGGTCCTGGCTAAATTGTGAGGAAGTCTCAGGCGGGAGCCGTTGTTGTTGTACACCAGGGGCCAACGACACAGTTTGACCCTCAAGACTTTCCCTGGTACAAAAACAGGGTGCGAGCCCGGGGAAGGGTACTTCACTCGAAAAAAACAATGTGCAACGGACGGGGGGGATCAACAAACAATATTTTTCATAAATGAGAGTTCAACGACAACAACAACCACAACAACAGCACCAACAACACCAACGCAACAAGCAGAATCCTCACCACGGATCCCCACGCACCCAGGGACAATAAATGACCGTTCGGCCCCCTCACTCTGACCTAACACGATAACGACGACGAAACGTTTGCGAGGCGGGGGCTGCTCCATACCTCATCATCGCCTGGGGGGTCGATCTTCGGAGAAAGCACACTCAGCAGCTGGTTGATGCGGATACAGTTGCCCCCCCCGTTAAGGGCACGAAGACCAATCCCACAAGCCTGCCACCATTATCCACCTCCTGCTGAGGACCCCGAACATCGAACCCACAAGCGGCGGTCATGGGCAAATCCCCTGCTCGGGGTCCTCCTCCTCCTCCTCCTCCTCCTCCTGCTCCTCCTCCTCCTCCTCCTCCTCCTCCTGTTCCTTCTCCTCCTCCCCCTCCCCCTCCCCCTCATCCTCCTCCTCCTCCCTCTCCTCCTCCTCCTCCTCCTCCTCCTCCTCCTCCTCCTCCTCCCCCTCCTCCTCCTCCTCCTCCCCCTCCCGACGATGTGCTTCGCTCAATCCCGGCGCTCCGCCTCGCCTCTGGCCGCCGGCGGGCCCGCTGGCGGGCCCCAGCGGGCACCACGCGCCGGCCTGGGCGAGACCCCATACCGTCGAGGCGTGGACCTAAGGAACCCTGGGTGAGTGACTACCTACCAGACCACCCCAACCCAACCCGAAGACCCGAATTTCGGGTTGGAGGGGGTAAGGCTTCCACACGTGTTTTTTCTATGTTTCCCGCCCTCCCCCAACTGGAAATCGAGGGTAAATCTGAGCCTTCGGGTTGGGTTGGGGTGGTTTGGTGGGTGGTGAGTAAGGGACGAGGCCCCATTGCTTCATGAGTTCAGCTTCGCCTGCCCATCGAAAACTCAAGAAACACCTCAGGCAAGGTGTGGAACAATGAAGGAGCACCGAGCCCCTCCCCATCGAATTAGGTTCCTTCTGCAGCGCCTGGGAAGGGGTAGACCTCCCGCGGCTTCGCAGCGAACATTTTAACCCATGGTCAGACTAAGGTCGGGCATGGACGAAAGATCAAGAATAGTCAAACCATACGCAAACAATGCACAAACATTCTGACACAATCGTCCCATACAATTTTCCATCTTTGAATATGATCGTGGCATCGGATCGAGCTGGAATGCGTACGGTATTGGGCCGCGTCAACGCGGAGTCGGAAGCGGATCGGCCGCGCCAGGGTGCACGACGACAACGCCATAGGAATACGAGTTCCGAATCTGATCGTCGGAATGGTGGGAATCGGGTCGGAACGAACCGATACCAAAATCGGGTCGGAACGAGCCAAAACCGGAATCGGGTGAGAACGAGCCAGTACCAGAATCGGGTCGGAATCGGGTCTGCTGGTCGGAATCGGGTCGGAATGGTGGGAATCGGGTCGGAACCAGTACCGGATCGGATCGATCGGATCGAGATGGGCAGAGGGGGGCCGATCTGGGCAGGCCGTCAGAGCCGCACCGGCTTGGGCGAGGTCTCCAGGCTGCCTCGCCGCGGCCCGCGGAGGTCGTTGCAACTGCTCATCGTCGGTAACCCGGAAGAGGGGGCCGGATTGCGGCCTGGCCATGCGGCTCTGGGGCCCATATCAGGGGGGTCCTCTTATGGTTTGGGACCTCGTGGCTCCTCCCCCCCTCCTCCCACATCTCCTCCGCCTGCTCCATGTCCTGGTACTCTTCCTGCCTCATGGGCCAAATACACCACGGAGAATGTGTTTGAGAAGACCAAGCAGAATCGAGTACGCAGAGTGGGGTAGAGTCCACCCAAGTTCAGTCCAGCCTACTCCAGTCCTGTTTACGTCAGTCCACTCTAATCCACCTCCTTGCAATATGCTTACATAATTGAAGTAAGAAGTGCGCTGGCATGCTGATGTGGCAGAGCCACGTGGTCACCCGCAGCAAGCAGGAGGCCAGCTGTCATGACGGAGCGAGCTTAGATTCGCGAAGCTGCGCGGGAGGCATGCTACTTGATCCACTTGATATTGCTCCCGCTCTTGCCCCTCTTCCTGCAATTCGCCATCCTTCCCCACGGGCCCAGCGATCCACGACGGTGTCGAAGAAGTCCCCAGGCTCTATGAAGCCGATGGGACCTTTGCAAGCATCGCCCGCGCACATTCCGCCCCTAAAGACGGTGACACGTGCGAAGAAGAGGAACAAAAGGACCCGCGTTCAACTTCCCAACCCGAAACCATTTTCGTAGGGCATGGTGAGGCAATTCTTTACACACATGTACATTTAGACAGAGGGAGAGAGAGAGAGAGAGAAAACAAAAACAAAAAAACGATACTCCCAAACACATATACTAACTAGAGAGAGTAAGGCAGATAACAACACAAAAACAGACAGGGATACAACTATACAGATGTGTATATACAGACATAGACATACATGCAGAGAAGAAGTAGTCTACAGAGATCATGCACCAGACATGACAAGGAGGACTAACATATACGTAGCGAGGGATGAATGCATGCAAACCAACTCGCATCCTCGGATGCATCGACGTGGCGAGAAAGAAGCAAAGAGAGGGGGAGGACGAGAGAGAGAGAGACACACACACACAAACAGTGGGAGAGAGAGAGAGAGAGAGAAAGCGATAGCGCGAGAGGGAGAGAAAGCAATCTACTGGTGGGGGACGGAGGGGGAGGACGTCTACGTTCAACTGTGTAAGAATAAGGGTTGCAGCGCACATAACACGTATGTATAAGAGAGGGGGAGAGAGACAGAGAGAGAGACAGAGAAAACAAGAGAGAGGGAAATCGAGGGGGAGAGAGAGAGAGAGAGAGAACACGAGAGAGAGAAATTAACATCACACACAAGACAATCAGGCAGACATATCAACTAAAGAGAGGGTGGGACCCGTAGAAGGGATGGGCCGAACAAGATAAATAAAGAGAGGCAGAGATAACAATGAAGGAATACATAAGGAAACAAGAGAGAGAGAGAGAGAGATATAAAGAGACAGAGAAGGCGATATAGAGACACAGCGACACGCATGTACAAGAGAAAGGGAGAGAGAGAGAGAGAGCGAGGGAGCGAGAGACATGACGGCAGACATGCAAAACCAAGGTGGCAACATACCATGATTGCACCACATGCAAAAGGAGGAAAGAGAAAACGAGAGTGGGGAAGAGCGCGAGGGAGAGATCGTTGTATATACACATACGCAGAAAGAGAGAAGGAGGAAGAGAGAGAGAGAGAGAACAAGAGAGAGATAGAGTGAGGGAGGGAAAGACAGAAAGAGATCACATAAGAAACAAGAACAAGAAGGTGAACGCTTTCTGATTGTGCGTTTCGACAGTGGGCGGAAGGGAGGGGAGGGGGGGTCTGGCTCTTGACCTCTGCTGACTGCGACTGTTTGCAACGGTGCGTCCGATGGGGGAGGGACGCCACCTGCTCAAGAAAAAGCCACGATCTACTCCACCGGGGGGGTGGAAAGGGGGTTTTAGGGCCCGCGCCGATCGGCAAAACAATACATAAAAACACGATCACAAGGAGCACAAGCCATGCTGCGACCTGTTTGGCAGCGGAATCCCACAACAATACCGTGGTCCGCCCGACACCCCCTCCCAGGGGGCAAAGGCCCTTTCTCTCATCATCTCCGCCTTCCCCGTCATCCCCTGCCCTTTTTCACGGCCTCCTCCCCCTCGATCGTATCCGCGAACATCCTCAATATACCTCGGCCCCATCGTCCTCCTCCCCCTTCGTTGCGCACCACACTGCGCGACTGGCCACTGATTACATACACGAGCGACGACGACGAGAGATACCTTCCATCCTCCACCTTACCTCTCCACATTCGTCCTTCCCCCCACTCCTCATCTATCTTACAGTCAACCCGTATCAGAAGAACGCATGATTAGGATGCAAGGGCTTTGGAAGGCCATGCCGACACTTCGCTAACGGGGCGCGGCCAGCGAAAGCGGCCAATAATGGGTCGAACTGCGAGGATGCAAGGGCCGAAGGAGGAGGATGTAAGGAGCACCGCGGCGTGACGTTACTCCTCCTCCCGCGATCTTTTCCCACCCCTTGTCTCCTTTTTCCCCCACCATCCCTCCGCCTCCTCACCCTCCGCGCCGCCGTCGCCCCGCCATCGCACCGCGGCGCAGGCTGTCGCAGCGCTGTCGCGCCACCGTCGCACAGCGGGTGCACTTCCGGAGCACGGAGGGTTTCACGGAGACGTCGTGGGCCATCGACGGGACTTCTGGAATTTTCCGGAAGCATTGTTGGGCCAACTTGGGGCTCTCTTGAAGCCGTCCTGCACCGTCTCGGGGGGGATTCTTTTGGGCCATTTCGGGCCGCCTTGGACGCCGGATGAGCACGATAGATGAGGAACGGGGGGGAGAAAGAGGGCGTCTTTCGTCGTCATCATCCGTCGACGTAGTTCGCCGCCAGTCCTTAGCCGTCGGCGTCGTCGTCTTCGTTGCTCGTCGGTCGGTCGTCGGTCGCCGTCGCCGACGCGTTCTCTCGCGCGCGCGCCGCCCCTAGGGATATGAGGACGAGGGGGGGGAGAGTAGGAGGTGAAGAGGGAAATAATTGAGGCGGACGTGGGTATAGGATAAGTATGACGCAAACATGGGCAACAGTGACGATGATGATGATGATGATGATGATGATGATGATGATGATGATGATGATGATGCGGGGGAAATTGGAGAGGAAGAATGTGCCGCCCATCCTCTGAAAGAAGCGGCAATCCACCGCCCGCTCCGCTGACGCCCCAGTTCCTGTGAATGGGTCGAGCGCCACCCCATCAGCAACGACTCCGTTTCGGGACAGGATGACCTAGTCCATGTGAGTGGCCCGTCCAACGCCCCATGGCAGATGCTCCATTTAGAAACATGATGACCCATTCCATGTGAATGGCCCGAGCGCCACCCCATCATCAAGCACAGACTCCATTTTGAGAAAAGGGCATGTATCCTGGGCCAAGTTTCAGGTAGGGCATGTCCCAAAACAAACAGCTCTTGAAGACAAATCAAACAATACCCAACAAATACCCGACTGTGTTCCGTTCCAATCATAATAGAAAAATCGTCCCCTGATTATTTCTGGACTATGTTTGAAAATTTCCTCTTGTAGACGGGGCACGCCCGACTTACGGCCAGTCCCGCCGTGTACCCCATGCATAAGTGGAAGGAGGCGACGGCCAGCGTGCCCAGGGAAAGCAAGAACCTAGCAGGCGGCAAGCGGCACGGCAGGTTGAAGCCGTCTGGGCCCCCACGAGGCCCCAAGAGGCCCCCAGGAGGCCCCAAGGGGCCCCCTAAGGGGGCCCTCAGGAAGCCCCTCAGGAAGCCCCAGTTGGCCCCCCAAATGCCCCAACCCAACACGGCCCCCAAGAGTCTTCAAAACTGCCTCTCAGAGGCCCCCGAGATGCCAACCACGAGAACCCAAACGACATCCATGAGGCCTCCGACCCACCACCCAGGCACGGTGGCGGGCTGGGCGGAACACCCACAAATGACCAACAGCCTCACCTGGCTGCAACGCATTGACAACGATCATTCGGGCAATTAGCAGCGCTCCATGTGGCACTCATCGAGCGATCGGTCCGAGACGCCCACGATGGCTTCCAAACGGCTCACGACGCGTACAATACCTCTGGAAGGGATGAGTGGCTGAGAGCCTGTCTGCATGTCCCTACCCCCTGGGGGACAACGCCCGCACTAGGAGTCGGGAAGCCCCCCTGAGACGCGTGCGCCTTGAGGGCAGCGCACAATGAGTTTAGAGGTAGGGAGATGCGGACGTCGCCACCGGCATGGCCTGCAACATCTTCACACGACCAAGATGCCTCCCAAGAAAGGCACACTCCGACAAACGACAACGGCGAGGCAATATGGGCTGGCGAAATGAGCAAAGCGATCCGCCGCCCCGCTGGGTACGGCGTGTGAGCCCGCCGCATGGTCTGCAAGAATTATTTCTCCTCAGCCCCCTTGCCCACGCACTCCTCGTACCGAGTCCTTTCCTCAGAACACTGGCAACCCCTCCTGGGGTCCTACCCGCGGGCTGCTCATTCCGTCAGCCATTCTGCCTTCACGTCAAGCAGGCCTTCGCACGGTAGATTTCCGGACCCCTCTGGGCGCGGTTTGGGACCTCTCCAGAAGCCCTCCTGGGCAGTCTTCGGACCCTCTTGGATCCCTCTTGGGTTCACTTGGCCCCTTCTTGGGGTCCTCCAGGGCCGTCTCGGACCCTTCCGAATCCCTCTTCGAGGCACGTTCAGCCGAAAAACTGAAGAAGCCAACATACTTCAAAAACCTATAAATTTTGATGACGTTCGCCGTTTCGGCCTCCTCTTTGCCTCTTGAGGCTCTCTTGCAGCATCTCGAGCCACTCTTGAGGCCTCTCCAATAACGTTGGGATATCTCCAATACCTCTCGGGCCGTCCTGAAGGCGTCCCGGACCCATCTTGGGCCGTCGGGCCGCCCTTTGGAGCCTTCTTGGGCCGTCTTCGCCGCGCCCCAGGGGCCCCTTGAGAGCATTCTGAGGCCCAACAAACTCGTCGGAGTGCTCCTTCCTCCCTCTCCGTGTCCCTCTTCTGCTTCTCCCTCTCCTCGGCTTCGCCCGCTGTTTTTGACACCTTTGGGTGCCCTGTTGGGCCGTGTTCGGAGCCTCTCGGGGCCCTCTGCTCTCCTCTCGGGTCGTCTTTGACCCCTCCCACAAACTCCGCGTTCCAAAAATTGGTGGGGCGGCGGTGTTTGCCCCCTCAGGGGCGTTCAATTAAATAAAACTCCACCTTATGGAACACCACCCAATTTCCCAGACCAGCGCCAGGTCGGGCATGTCTCCCTACAGGCGGATTTCGGACGAAAAACTTGAGAAGTAGTGAAAACAAATATTTTAAAAATACCCACAAACACTCAACAAATCGTTCCCAGACAATTCTTTGACTATTTTTGAATATTCCCCCTGTAGAGGGGCAGGCCCAGATTTAGACCAGCATCAGCACCGCGTCACAGTAGGAACCGCAACAGGGCGACAACAGAGAGGACGCTAAACCAACCTCCTCCTGCGGAATCCGCGCGCGACGCGGGACACAACAATACCTGAGCAACGGAACACATAATCACCTGGTCGCCCCCGGTCCCTCTCCCCGATCCCTGTAGTTTCCAACTACCTCCCCTCCCCCTCTATCATCATGTTGGATGCCCACTGTAGTTTTCAGCTGCCCGCCCCTCTACTATCATTCCCGATACCCCCCCCGTTGTCACCCAAGGTCGTGCCCCCTAGTTGTCAGCTACCTCCCCCCTCAGTTCTCGAATACCTCCCGGTACAACTGCACCAACAGCACCAACAGCGCAGCATCAGGCCTCCGAGACCAACCAGCAACAGCAACGCCAACGCGCAACCAGGAAGGCAGAGCCAGGAACGCACGGAGAAGGGGCAGAACTAAGCTACGAAGCAAGTACGCTCAAGTACTCGATATTTGTTTACGTTCGCCCACGCAGTTACGACAAGATGTGCAATTACGTAAAACTTTGACGCCCGAGTTATCCGGGGTAACTCGGGTCCGGGGTAACTCGGGTTTGGGTTCCCGAAAAACGAACCCGAGTTAGCCCTGACCCGAGTTACCCCTGATGATTCGGGGCCCTGGACGCCCGAGTTATCCGGGGTAACTCGGGTCCGGGATAACTCGGGTTCGGAATCCCGAAAAACGAACCCGAGTTAGCCCTGACCCGAGTTACCCCTGATGATTCGGGGCTCTGAAAAACTGCTTGGCGCCTACCTCGCACAAGCCGGCGCGAAACCCGCTCACAACCACCCCGAGCCCGCGGGCCGCACGCCACGGTGGCGCGTCGAACCTCCGCCGCTCCCACCTCGCGAGCCAGGTGCGCTGCTCCGCCGCAGCAGGCGCGTCCAATTCCAACTCACCTCGCTCACCGCCTCCCCATCCCCATCGCAGCAACATCCCCATCCCTCCCCCTCCCTCCCCATCCCCTCTACAATGACACGCTATGGAAATACTCTCCCACTTCCCCGGATGGCGTCCCGAAGATGTCCGACACCCCCCCGCGTATTGTTTTTTTACACACAAGATTCCCGGGAAACGGGTTTTCGCTTGTGTTTTTTTCAAAATGCTGCTCTTGCTGAGGCGCCGGCTTCATTTCTGCTCCCGAATCGTTCCGAATCGTGCTCCCGCTGCAGCGTGGGCCTCATTTTCGGATCGGTGTTTGGCCTCCGTCCGTCGTTCAGGATGGCGTTCTCGCCCCAGCGCGGGCTTCTTTCTCGCGCGCCCATCCGCCCGCCACCACCGCGCCGCACCACCACCACCACCACCACCACCACCACAACCACCACCAGCATCACCACCACCACCACCAGCACCACCATCACCACCACCACCACCACCACGCACGCACGCACGCACGCACGCACGCACGCACGCACGCACGCACGCACGCACGCACGCACGCACGCACGCACGCACGCGCACCACCACCCACTACGCACGCGCGCGCGGAGCCACAAGTCCGCTACGACACGCGTCCGCGGATAGAGAAAATCAGCGCCATGGTAAGGGATGGGAGGGAGGGGTAGGACGTCAGATATGACGCGAGCGCACCTAGCTTGCCCCATCCCCTCCCCATCCCGCTCCATCGCAGCAGGTGCGTAAAAGGCGCTCCCCCGTTCCAAAGCAGAAAAACGGCAATTTTCTGTATTGGGATATGTGCTCCGCTGGTATTCTTTTGCCCCCCCCCGTTTCTGGAAAATTTGGCGGTGGGTTCCACACTCACTCCCCCAGGCCACTTCCTTGTAAGTTACGGCACATTTGCGCCCCTGAGGCCACGATCCCGCGTGAATTACACCACATTCGCGTCCCCGAGGCAACGATCCCTGGTACATTACACCGCTGTCGCGCCCCCCAGGCCACGATCCTTTGTAAATTACGCCACATTCGCGTCCCCGAGGCCACGATCCCACGCAAATTACACCAAATTCGCGCGCACCCCCCACGCTACGAATCCACCTCGCGGAAGCTGCCCAAAGGCGCCACTCCTTCTCCAGAGCAAAAAAAAATAACCTTCCCAGAGATTGCCTGAAGCAATCCCCAGCCGTTCCCAGAGCGCTTCCAGTGAACAAGTGGAGGGAACTGGCAAGAAGGCAACAAAGCGTTCAACAACAACTTCGACATCTCAATCTGTTTTGCTCATCGCCAGCCGCCCTAGCATGACGTTCCCGAATGTCATCAAGACGGCGCCCCAACATCCCAATATAGCTCTGATGTATCCCATTATGATAGAGAGGGGGCCGGCGGCAGGGGGCGAAGCCCTTACGGATTATCAAAGAATCGTCCCCAACCCTTGTTTGGACAATTTTTGAAAAAATCCCCCTGTAGAGGGACGGGCCCAGCTTAACAGAAACATGATGAAACGTTCCGAAATTCGCGCGGACTTCTCGGATCAGAGCCGGAGCCCCCCTGCGGCGCCTCCGGCGCCGCCGCTGGCGCGCTCCGCGCGCCAGGGAGGGGGTCCAGCGCCAACCCGAGGAACTTCGCGCGGGGCCCTGCGGGTTCGTGTTCATGCCGTTGCTTGCCTCTCGAGAAGACCACCAAATCGGCCACATGCTGGTCGGAAGGTGCGGAAGTCAGGCGGCGAGCCCTGGGGAGAAGAGAGAAAGAGAAGGCCCCGAGAAGGCGGCGGGGCTTCTCAGAAGGCCTCGGGCCTTCTGAGGCGTCCTGTGAAGACTTCTCGGGAGGCCGGGGGACCTCCGAGCCTCCTCAGAAGGCCCGCCCCTTCTCTAGGGGGAAAACAAACCTACCTCGCTTTTGACCACCCTCGCTTCCAAGAGATACCAAACGATGCTAAATTGCAGCCTGTACTGGTCAGGCCGCTTGACGAGGAGGCGCGTGGTATGGCTTGGTTCTGCCTGGAAGCGAAAGCGGGGTAGGTAATTCACGCTCTGATTCTCACTCCCCCCTACCTGGCTGGAGGCCGACAGGTGGAGAGTTAGGGCCGACCCCCCCCCGTCTTGACGCTGCCCCATGACCCGCGGCCGAGCCCCGGGCTGGCCGAGTTGTCGAAGAGGACGTGCTTGCTGGTCCCGACCGACAGCTCCACCTCCCGCAGGCGTGGGGCCGCCGATGGGACCAGCGGGGGCAGGCCGGCGGTGGTGGGCAACCGCCGGGGGGGGGGCGCGGCCCGCGCCTTCGCTATACGATGGGCGAGCGTGAGCGCCGTAGCTGCAGCGCCAGTGTGGGAACAGGGCTGAACCTAAACGCTGTTGTTCGGTTTGCTTTCGTTTTGGGTTTCGTTTTGCTATGCCTGTCTTCCTGTAGCTCCCTGCCAGAACGAACAACAACACACACCGGAAGTCCAGCAAAACAGCGTTTAGGTCCAGCCCTGGTGTGGAGAAAGTGCGAATGGCGACTTAGGCCTGGAGGCCCACACATGTTACGCCTGGCAGGCGTAGCATGTGTGGGCCAAAAGGAAAGACTGGCTCACAACGCGTCACGAGAGGCGGAGCAGCCACCCATTGGCTGGCAGGTGGATTCGGATCTCCCGCTCATCACGGCTGAGCAGGTCCTCGAGGCGGCGAAGACTTTCAGCACTTCCACAGGGCTCAGCTGGGATACGTTTCACACCCGCCTCCTGTTGCAACTGCCGCTGCCGCTTGTCGAGGCTTTTGTCAGCAGAAGGCCGGTGGCGGGGTCAGGCCCGTTGGCTTGCTCCCGCGCTGGGCCAGAGTCTGGAGCCGCATCCGCCACAGCCTGTGCTCCGAATGGGAACGCTCGGTTTACGCGAAGTTTTCCGTTTTCCAGGGGGGCGAACTCCAGCACAGCCTGTGACAAGAGTGTGTGGGTGCACAACGCCCTGGCGGCGTATGCGCGCAGCGTTCCAGGCCTGGTCACCAACACTCCCTTTTAGGTTCTTCGCAAGTTCTGTAAACACATCAGCCACGGAGAGCTCCTGGGAGCCGCTCGCCATCCGATTTCCCTTTGCCCCTCCTCAAGGCCTACTGTGACCTTTCTATCGGGCCCCAAGCAAGGTGTGCTGGCAGGGGGCTGTGAGCCGTTAGATATTTCCCTACGGGACCGTGATCGCGGGTTGCTCCGGCGCGACCTCCCTCGCGCGCCTGCTCTTGCTTTGGTGCCTTAGCAAGGTCGCCTCAACGTGCCGGACGGTCTGGCTCAAGAGCGTCATCGATGACGTTTCGTTTCAGGCCATCGGCGGGGCGGCAACAGCTCGGCGCGAGCTTGAAGCTGCGTTTGACCAAGTCTCTGGCGAGTTGCAGGCCAGGGCCAGGGAGCTGCCCATCGCCTGGAATAAGACGGGGCTCCCGCCTTCCTCCCTCGAGGTGGCGCGGAGGGCCCTCTCGAGGACTGCGGCCTCCCGGCCTCTGCCCGCTGCCAGGTGCACCGCGACCTCGGCGGCGATACGACAGACGGCAGCCGTCGTAGGGTCACTACCCAGCAGGAGATGTTTTGTTTTGTATGCCCAGAGGAAGGCGTCCAGGGTCCAGGCCCTTCGGGACGCGGGCGCCCCGGCCGGCAATCTCTTTAGACCTGGCGCTTCCGCTGAGGCCCTCTGTGGGGGGCCAACATCCAGGGGCCTCCAGACGGCAAGCTTTGAGAGCTTGCGTGCAGCTGCAGGGCCTCGTCATGGGCTCTCACTGGTGCCAATGCTTGTGCATTTGCACGACCAGCAGCTGTCATCTCAGCGTTTGCCTTGCGGAGAGCGGGGCACGCTCTTTCACAAGCACTTCGCTTGCCCAGCTCGCGAGACCTGGCGACATGACAACCTCCCGTCGGAGATCGCGGCCGCCGCCGGTCGCTTGTCCCAGTTTTCGGTCGAGCTCCAGGAGAGGTCTGCGCGCGGCGTCCATCCTGACCCCTGCCAGCTCCTCGCCAGGAAGCCCTGGGATCCTTCCACGGAGTTGAAGGTTGGTGGAGCAGGTGAGCTGCTCATGCTCCAAGGAGGCCACGTTTTGTGCGATGGCTCAGGCGTGGATGGCCTGTTGGCTTCTCTTCGCGTGGCTGGATGGAGCATTGCTGTTTGTGACAATGAGCGCCGATGGGTTGCAGGATGGTGCGGCTCGTCCCCCCTTCCTCTTGCCCCGATCAGGTGGCCAGGGACGGCGAGGACTACGCTGTCTTCATGGACTCGAAATTTTAGGTGGAACTTACACTTTGCACACGAACTGCCGGTGCCCCACGATCACGCGCATGCCTGCCGAGCCGCCAACATCCGCGCCCCCTTGCGGGGCCAGATGTGTAAGAACGATTGCTTCTCTGGAGCCACGTTTAAAAAGGTGATGGCCCACGCCTCATTGGTGGATGTGCGGGAGGGGCGGTTGTCGGAGTTTGAGCGGACGGGAAAGCACGAAGCGGACCGCCTTGCCAAGCAGGGGGCCGCCCTCAGTCGCCACATCCGCAAGATACCCTGCTGGTGAAAAGAATCTTACCTCTGGCTCGCCTGATTTTGAGACTCACCACCCCGTCGAAGGTTTTTTGCGGCGACTGAGGCCGCTTCGACAGTGCTGGAGCTCGGAGCCTCAGCTTGATCTCCCTTGAGGGAGATGCTGGTTGGGATGCGCCCCTGGGGGCGGCTCGGCGTGAGGAGGCTGCCGATGCTGCTGCTGAGTAGTCTGCTCCTGCCTCTAGGCCTTCCCCTCCCGTGTCCGCGCCTGCCTCTTCGTCGTCTGCCCCGCAGGTGGACGATGCGTCGAGGGTGCCAGGCGAGCCTGGCGAGACCCCCTGGAGAGAGGGTGGACACTGTCTGCTTCAGTTCCCTGTTCTGTCGGACGGGGCTCCGCCGCTTCTGTCTTGTTCCACGCGTGGTGACTAAGCCACGGCCTCCCAAGAAGCCAGAGGTTTGAAAGGCCCTTGCACGGGGTCGCAGGTGACCCTTGTCGGGGCCGGCCGCGAAAACAAGTCCAGCATGTCTCGGTTGAGGCATCCAAACCGACCCTTCAAGCTGGGCCCTCGGTGCACCCCTGGGCTCCAGGTGCAGGAGCTGTTCGCAGGGAGGTTCGTGGAAAGGGGTGTTGAGCCTCAGCCTGGAGGAGGGAGGAGCGAACCTGCTCCACGGTTTTCAATCGGCACGATTTGTGCCCGTCTGATTGCCTCCAAGCTTTCGGCTTGAACGAAGGGGAGGCACGGAACCTCGGCAGCAAGCTTCGTGTCAAGCAGCAGGCTAACACCCTGCCGGTAGAGGATGAAGGCGAGCTTTTTGCCTTAGGGGGTGCCCTGTCGCTTGGCCCCCTGGCAGGTTTTTGCCCCCCTAAGTAACAGGGTGTCAGAAAAGGTCCTCTCCGATGGGCCCCCCAGGGGCAATTTGGACTTGTCGGACCCTTTCTTCTTTTTTTGTTTTTTTCTCTCTCTCTCTCTCTCTCTCTTTCTCTCTCTTTCTCTTTCTCTCTCTCTCTCTCTCTCTTTCTCTCTCTCTTTTTTTTTCTCTCTCTCTCTCTCTCCCACTCTCCCCTCCGTGGCGTCCGATCCTCACCACTCCTCCTCCTGGCATGGACGGAGCGGGTCCTGAAGGCATCCGCTCGACCATCCCGAAGCCTCTTCTGAACGTGCCTGGGCCCGTGGAGGGCCCCCGTGGGTGCCAGAGCACGGCGAGAAGCCTCGGGACCCAGTTCCCCCAATGGCGGCCCTCCTTCGCCCTCTGCCAACCAGCCTCGACCTTATCCCCGTCTCGAACTTATCCCTGCCTTATGGTGCTCCCATCGTGCTTAAGGGCCACATCCCAGAAATAATTTCGAGCACCCGGAAAAGTGTCGAAAGAGTGTCGAAACAATGTCGAACGAGTCTCCCAAGGCCCGACACGTGGAAACCCTCGAGTATCGGTACTCTTATGGTGCTCGAAATTCTTTTTGATGATCAAGGCTAAAGTAGGTTGGAGCATCATAATCCCTGTCCCTAAGATGGGCGAGCGAAAAGCGAGGACCATCTCGGGGAGGTGCCCTCAGAAACTGAGGGAATCCTGAAGATCGGCATTGCGATGAGGCGGTGCCAAACACACGGATAGGGACATGCTTAGAACCGGTAATCTGCAGGGCTCGAACTGGTAATCTGCAGGGCTCCCCGGACGCCCTGACCCTCTCCCGGGCGTTGACGCACGAACAACACACACCCATACCCATAGGGGGGTCGTTGGGAGGAGGACTGGCTATGGGTATGGGTGCGGGTTGTCGGACCCTGGGGAACGCTCCAGTTCGAGCGGGAACCCCCATCCGACAACACGCACCCATAGCCCTCTCCGATCCCCCTGTGGGCTTGTGTGTGTGTTGTTGGTTCGTCAGGGCGTTGGCAGAACTGGGTTTAGTGGGACCTGGTTTAGGGATGTGCACCGGGGGACGCCCTCCCCGCCCGTTCCACTGACCGGAACCGCCGTAACCCGAAAAAACACTGGCTTCGGCAGACCTGGTTTAGTGACCCTCGCCAATGACACTGACCGGGTCCCCTTTCCTGGGGTCCTGGCTATACCTGACTACCTACCAGACCACCCCAACCCAACCCGAAGACCCGAATTTCGGGTTGGGGGGGGTAAGGGTTCCACATGTGTTTCTTCGATGTTTCCCGACCCCCCCCCACTGGAAATCGATGGTAAATCTGAGCCTTCGGGTTGGGTTGGGGTGGTTTGGTGGGTGGTGAATACCCGAACCCTGGACGCCCTGACCCTCTCCACATGGGACACCGGACCTCGGACCTGCAGCTGTCGCCGGCTAGGGCGTCGCAGGCGGGCGCCGCAGCGCCGGGCGTGCGAAACGTGCGAGAGAGCTACAGAGAAACCAGCAGAGATAGGGCGACGAGATCTATACATATCCACTGCTCCCGGCCAGGCCAATCCTGGGCCCAAGAGCTGTGTATACGCCCTCCTGGCTTGGCCAGGGAGCCATATACACCGCTCCTGGGCCCAGGATGGGCCTGGCCAGGAGCAGTGGATATGCATAGATCTCGTCGCCCCAAGAGAGGCAGAGGACAGTGCACACGTGCAAGCAACACGACCGAACAGACCAGCCTGGGCCGTGTCTCCCACGGGGCCCGAGAGCCGCGAGGGAAGGCCCGCGGAGGCCGCGCTCGGCGGCGGACCTCGGTACTGCACGTCTGCCCCGC